ATAACTGCATTACATGCAATGCACACGAAAGCTAACTACACTGGCTCGTATACCCTAACCAATCAAATCTAAACTCAATAATTAAAGATACAATACAACAGTTCTTCTATTCAAACAAACTTGATATATCAAGAACTGAACTCCAGGAATTACATACTAAACTCATCAATCATCAAGTCTTCTCACTTGATAATCGCAATAATAACAACACAAACTTGTATTCTACTATACAAGAATTTATTTCTACAATATTAATACAAACAATCAGAGAATATACAGATTCTATTCAAACAGCTACCAATATTACTATTCAACTATTACTGCAACTAACACAAAATATTCACAACCGGATTTGGAAACCTTACTGTATAAAATTATCTGAATGGAAACAACAAAACAACATCTCTACTCGACCTAACCGAACACAAATTTTGAATCAACAAATTACCAATTCCACAAGTAATCGTACACATAATCAATACAGAATACCCCATACTTACAGTTGTCCCTGTGGTCTACCAGACCAACAACATATTGATAATACATGTCCACCCCTTGGAAAAGCTATTAAAAAAATATCTTTATGGACAATTCAATGGATTAAATATAGTACACCAACTAATAACATAATAAATTATCAAATCTAGGTGAGTTTTAACCACTCTAGTACGTTTAGGTTACAGATAAAATTGTTTGAGTCTCATTCTTGTATAAAAATTTGTAAAATATGGTTTCGGTCAGAAAAACCCTTTGTGGATTCTCAACACAAATTATTAATAAAGATAAAGGCAAAACCTCACCTTAAAATAAAAAAAAAAATAAAAAAAAAATAAAAATAAAAATAAAAATTGCTTTTTTGGTTTATAAATAACTTAAAATTTTTTATAAGGTATAGTAACTTAGTAAAGTAGTTAAGTTGTCACACCTCCAAGCTATATATTAGCAGATTATAAAATTTTGAATAGTTTGCTTATATAATAGCTACTATTAATTAAAATAAGATTTTTTTAACTTTAGTAGCACCAGCAAAATTAAGAAATAATAGAGTATTTATACAGTATATAAATTATATAAAGATATACAAATTGGTATTAAGTAGTGCAAACTTAAAATAATTCTTATACTTATATAAATCTAAAAAACTAGAAAAATAAATGCATGCTTTACAATATATAAACTTTTAATAATAGCTACTAAAATAGGCTTTATTCAAGTCTAGTTAATCAGATAAGATAAAAGTATCTGGCAAATTGCTTTATTAACCAGGCTGCCAAAGCATTAATTAGAAAAAAAAGATTAGTAAATACTATGAAACTGAAGTTTCTTTTAGGCTATCTGAATTGATAGTCTAGTGATATCTACTAAAAGGTATTGAAAAAGAAGATACCAGGTTGTTTTGAAAGAAAAATATTTAGTGTTTAGATAAACTTCACAAGAACTAAGTAAATAATAGTAATTGTTATAATAGCTCATAAATATTTATTCTTAAACTTAATATAAATTATTAAAAAAAACTAGATAATATGCTAATAGTAAGTAATAGACAGCTTTAGTAAACAATATTTTAAAAATAAATTAGTTAACTATGTTGATAGTTCTGAAAAAAAGTAAAGAATCTAGAATTTTCTTAACTAACTTATATAATAGAAGCTGTTTTAATGATACAAGTAGAGTTGCATTACAGAGAGTTTAAATAGACAATATTTGTAGTTTAAATTGCAGATATGACATTTAGTATAAAACTTAAAGCAGATAAACTACTTAAATTAAATATCAAAAGTATATAAATAATTAGTATATATTCTTTAATATAAAGAGATTTCTTAAAACTACCTGCTTAACAATATTTAAATAAAAATCTAAACTCTAAAAAAGCTAGTTTAAAAAAAATAAAAAATTTTTTATAATCTAAAAATAAATATTATAAAAAATAATCTTTATTTTCAAATATATTTATATAAAGTTTTATTTAATTATTTTGATATTTTAAATATAAAAGATCAATATTTCTAAATTTATATAAAATAAATTATAGATCAATATTGTATAACCAATATCATATGATATTATATAAATATCATATAATTTAGCTAATCAAAATTAGCAATTCTTTATACCATTTAGAAAAATATATAATAATCTAGATAAATTTTAATTATATATAAAGTTAAACTTTTAAAGCAATACATATTGCACAACTTCATTATTATAAACAACATATTTTAAACTATATATCAAATAAATTTGATATAGATTAATTAAGGTGTTAAAAAGTTTTATCAAAAGCATTTTTTATCTACTATGTAAAAATCCAATATACTATATAGATTATATAAAAAATGATCTATAGTATATTTACTCTACTCTTAAAAAGAGTATTAGTTTATAGTAATGAGTCATCATGATGAATTTATATAAAAAACCAATCAAAATTGAGCATGTAACTATATAATATATTGCTTATTATTGGCTAATAAAATTTTTTTACAAAATTTATAACTTTTATAATAAAAAAATACAAAAGAAAATTTTTGAGCCCTAAATATGATTGGCTGCTATATTTAGAATTGTTATAGAGATGGGTCTCTATTGTCTTTTTGCTTTTTAAAAAAATAAATCAGACTAAAAAAATGCAAAAACACAGAAATAATTTTTATCAATACCAAAAAAAAATCAGTTTTTTTTTTAATAAAAAAATTTTTTAAAAAAGTTTATATACTGTATATATTTTATTATAAAATTGATCTTCAGTATCACTTTGGTGACTACTGTATCTTAGGTGTTGACCAGCATAATAACTAATATTGACCTAAACTACAACCTAATTCTTACCCAACTCTAACCCCAATCGAAGACAAGAATTAATCTGAGGCTCATAGGATGACTTTTATATGATTGGTTGTTTAAGTTAATTTAATTTTATATTATTTTATACAGTTTAAAGTACTTTTAAAAAAAAACAAAACTACAAAGAATAAATGAAAAAGAAGTACATAGAAGGTATTATTAGTGTTGTAGGACTTCACTATTGAAAATGATCAAAATCCCTTTTTGATTTAGCGAAGTTAGTATTATAATAACTTTTTAAAAATAGATCGAACAAGATTATTACTATGCTAACTTCTCTAAAACAAAAAGGGATTTTGATCATTTTCAATAGTGGAGTCTCACAACACTAATAATACCTCATATGTACTTTTTTTTCATTTATTCTTTGTGGTTTTATTTTTTTTGAAAAGTACTTTAAACTGTATCGGTATCAATAATGTAAAATTAAATTGACTTAAACAACCAATCATATGAAAGTCATTCTATGAATTTGAGGCACAACATATCAAAAACCCTTTAAATGTAACGATAATGATATATACAGTATTAAAACTACTGGTGTGATAGTATGATTTGGTATGATTTAGTATAACCGAATGACTATTACATATTACACAAAACAATAGTACAATTATGCGTGTATATAAATAAACTTTTTACGAGTTAAACATTATTGATACGTATTCAAAAATAAGCATTTTCGAACTTCTATTTTCTAACATATATGCAATAGCATTAATACGTATCGATATGTATATTTTTGTAAAAATAATAAGATCGATATCACATATAGCGTTGCAAACTTAAATTAAATTGGTTATAAAGCTAAAAATCGAAATTAATTATATTTTTGTATATTTAATAATTTTTGTAATATTTAAAGGTCGATAGTATCGTGTAACATACGTACAAGTTATTTAGACTCGTACGGTACGTACATACAATAAAAAGGCAGTATGTCAAACAATATACGTATACGTACTATATCAATGACACAAAATTTATTATTAAATTTCTAAAACGATAATAAAATTTTGCTTTTATAATTCTAAATTTTAATTACAATATATTGCAATTTTTATTAATTACTAAACAATAATATTTTTGTATTTAAATTCAATAAAGTTTGCAACGCTAATCCATATCACATACGTACCTAAAAAAGTTATTATACAAATCGTCCAACATGATACGCACATATAAGTTCGTACGTACGTACGTACATGCATAAGTACTTACATATTGATATGTTTCATGTAGAAATAAAACAAATATTGATCATTACCGTACGACGTATAAATACGAATTGGAAATTTTAATTCTTTTAAATAAGAAATAATAAACGGTATCAATATTTTTCGCACCTTGTGATAAGTTAAATTGTTTCTGCCATTGCATTTCTTAATAAAGACGAAATCTAGGTTATCTAATCCTTTTTTAGCAGTGAAATAAAGAGGCTTTGAAAGATGGCTTGCGTAAAAAAAGAACATACTCTTAGATAAGATTTTGACGGGAAATACGAAGAAAGCAATAATCGGGCTGTTGTCTGGAAAATATCCTGGAAGAGAGATTGCACAAAGCCATATGATTAAATTTGATTAAATTTGAACATACAAAAGTATTATCGTTATTGCCCCCCTTTTATTATTATTCCCTTTATTTATACTATATATTTCGAAACTAACCAATTATAGGCTTTAAAAGGGTTTGATCTAATTACCAAATATTTTTAAAATTAGAACAAACAGTGTAGTATTAATTTGTTCGATTAGGAAAGCTGGCCAATGATTTCGTAATAAAGAAAAGCAAATTCACTTTTAATTTATGTTTAAAATATCTTAACGGGATTCTTTATGTGTGTAATCGAAATTATGACATAAATTAGCACCTAAGTATATAAATTGCAAAATTATAAAACACGAGACGTGATGGTTAGACAATTCATTATTTACCTAAATTTATACTGTGGGAATAGTTTAATGCATCACAGAATATGATAGACTGATTCATTAAAAGGTATAAAAATACTTAAGTAATCGGTATGGTGTAATCGTACTCACGTTTTTGACGGATTGGTATAAATATCTTACGAACTGTTACTACTCTTTAATTTAAATGCAGAGTAGAGTTTTCTTTTCTCTAAAGTTGAAAATTGTTAAATAAGAATAAAAATGTCTGATACTTCAGATACCTCAAATGCGGGTCCTAAGTGGAACTATGAATTTATAACTTCAGGAGCTCCAAGACAACCAAATGAAGGTGCTTTTAAATATAATTTACGAAAATTGTTTACAGTAAAATCATGGGAAAGCTTGGAGCAAGATCAACGAATGTCCGAGCTTAGAAAAGAGTTGAATGTCTTTGAATTGATTATGATTGGCTTAGGCAGTATAATTGGGACTGGAATATTTGTTTTGACAGGTTGGCTAAAAATGGATTGTTATAATTGTAAAAAAGATACTTTCATCCGAATTTCAATTGATGTAATTAGGTCAAGTTGCTGCGACTAAGGCGGGCCCTGCCGTCGTTATATCTTTTTTATTGGCTGGACTGGCTGCTAGTTTTGCTGCGTTATCTTATTCTGAGTTAGCCTCGATGATTCCAATGTCAGGTTCATCATATACTTATACGTATACAACTATGGGTGAGCTTATAGCTTGGATCATCGGTTGGGATTTAACTTTGGAATATTTGGTGGGTGCTGCTACGGTGTCTGTTGGTATGTAATTAATCTTTACTTATTAGCATAAATATCATATTATTAATGCTTTGACTCTCACAATATTAAAAAAGGGTGGTCTGGCTATTTTACACATTTTTTTTACGATGGCTTTGGTATCCAATTCTCTCCATCATGGACCAGCGCTCCGATATTTTTCAATCATACAACTCAATCTTTTGAACTAGTTCCTGGAGCTTATTTCAATGTTCCTGCCTTTACTATCGTAGTTCTTTTGACTACTCTACTCGTTTTAGGAGTTAAAGAATCAGCAAGAGTTAATGCAATTGTTGTCAGTGTAAAAGTTGTAGTTATAATATTATTTGTTATTGCAGCTGGATCTTATATCAAGCCAGAAAATTACCAACCATTTGTTCCACCAAATGAAGGAACATTTTCCAGATTTGGTGTATGTTTAACATTAATTTCAGTTTAAATTGTTGACCAAGTTTTTTCATTAAGACTCAAAAATGTAATGAAATTTAGGTTACTGGAATATTAGCAGGGACTAGTGTCGTGTTCTTTGCATTTATCGGATTTGATTCGATTTCAACTATTGCACAAGAATCTAGAAATGCACAAAGAGATATGCCAATTGCGATTATGGGCAGTTTCGGTATTGTCTCTGTTATTTACATTGTTGTATGGTAAGTTTCCTTACGCACTAACATTAGCCCGTATTACAATTGTGATCTAGTAATAATATATTATTAAAAGGTGGAATCTCTTGTAGTATAGGTGATACTACTAATAAAATGTATTATTAATCAATTGATTTAGAATGGGTGTCGCCCATACTGCAAGAGATCCAAAAGATGAATGTAACTAAGTCATGCAATTGTAACATAGATCCTAACAACAACAAGGATTTTATAACGGTTTTGAAAAATATCACTAACTTATTTATTCATTTTAAAGTGTTGTGTTGACCGGTGTAGCATCATACAAGAAACTTGATAGCGCTGCGCCAATAGCTGTAGCTGTAAGTGAAACAGGAATGAAATGGTTAGGAATTATTGTGGATCTTGGTGCAGTATGTGGTCTGATATCTGTCATTCTCGTATCATTAATGGGACAACCACGAATTTTCTTGGCGATGGCAAAGTAATTTGTCTTAATTTTTATGTTTATTTTAAATCATTTCAAAATGTTTTAATAAATTTCACAATATAATAGTGATGGATTATTTTTACCCGGAATTGCTTCAAAAATTCATCCTCGATTTGGAACGCCATACATAATAACTATAATCGGTGGTGCAATTTGCGCTATAGCAGCTGCGCTGTTCCCAATAGATGTACTCGCCGAATTAACATCAGTTGGTACGCTGCTAGCTTTTTTCTTAGTTAACATAGGGGTAATGATATTAAGGCTTAAGGCCCCAAATGTACGTAGAAAATTCAAAGTACCAGGTGGACCATTTTTAATCCCTCTGACAGGTGCTGCATTAACTTTATTAATATTGGCAACGGCATCACCTGCAAGTATATATAGATTGTTTATTTGGATGGCAATAGGATTGGTAATATATGTATTTTACGGAAGGAAACACTCTAAAGCTAATAATCAACAGTCGATAGATAAAGAGCAAGGCATGGAGATGATGCCTACAAACGAAGTCAGAGAGCAAAGTGAAGACGCAGAGACAAGTCGTACTAAAATCACAAAAAACGTTTAAAAATATCAAATTGCATACTTGCTTTTTTTTTTTTTAGACATCTTAAATTTAGATATGTAATTTTGCACGTTGATAATTTATTGGCGTCGGATTATTCGTTGTGTATTAAACATATGTTGAACTTGTATAGAATATTTGGTATAATAATTTAGCAATAATATGTGAGTTCATTCATTTCAAAACTATTTTAATACAAATTTTTTAAATCTTTTGGGCGTTTTTGTTTTTTAAGTTGCACTAAGATTTAGTATTAAGATTGTTAATAAAAGAGCATATGAGATTTTAGTCAGATTTATATTTTGAAATCAGATTTATATTTATCAGCTGCGACAACTAATAAGGTTATATAATTTGCTAGCGACCGAAAATTCATTGTGCTGACTAAACTTCTGTCGAGTAAAACAGGGATGGTAAATGACCTGGTCATTTAATCAAAATTTAAATGACCCCCAAGTCATCAAATAATGACCAGTCATTTAGGTCATTAAGGTCATTTGCATATAAGTAATTATATTGGTTGAATTACTTATAAAAAGTTACGAACTTTATTACTTTTTCTAATCGATAATCGTAGCTATATTTTAAAATTAAAATTTTACCAAGTCAATTAATATTTGTGCCTTAAGTAAAGTTGTTCGGATAATAAATTGAAATTTTCATGTAAATTAAATACCTTTTTATTAATTACTTTCGCATATTACATTTTACACGAACAATTTATTATCCTGAACAACTTTATTTAAGGTATAAATATTAATTTATTTATTATAGTAAAATTTTGATTTTGATGGATAGTGTTAGACCTAAAACTTTATAAGTCATATGATTTATGCCATACGTAATTCGTGGTGTATTACAAGCGTCAAGAAATCTACAAGATCTACTAATCTACAATTCCTACCAATTCTACACTTTCTATTAATTCTATTATTATTATTATTTATCTCACTGTTAATATTAGATTATGCATAATTTATCCCATAGAATAAATCTAGTATAATCGATAGATATAATAATTCAACATGTATTAATATCCTCGATTTCTCTTTGCGAATCTACAGTTAACAACTCCTATTTATTAAATAAAATACCAAATCGTGTCTTCATACACGAGTAATAACCCATTTGTGTCTTCAAACACAAGTAATAACCGAAGTTTATCGTTAAGTGAGCTAACGATCTTGAGCACGTGACTATCGTAAAGAGAGTTTGCGATAGATATATCAGGCGATCGACAATTCAGGGGGTAAATTTTTCATATGAGATCAAATGACTGACGCACCTAAATTTTATATGTAAAATTTAGGCAAAATTCGCTTTCTAAGCTTATTTAACAATAAAGAAGTTGTTAGTTTAATTTCTGGGTATCATTTTGCAAATTCTCTGGCATTTGAAGAATCTTCTCATAAAATTTTAAGGGTAGTTTAAAATAAAATTGAGGATAATCTAGGCCACGAAGTGGGCCAATTTTTTTCGATTTTTACGATTTTTTACTATTTGTTTACAAGTGATATACATCATTTAACCAAAATAAGTAATGAGGCAGTGTCAATCGATTGATGCTGCCTGATTATCGATTGACGCTGCCTGATTACTTATTTTGGCTCAAACATAGTTTGATGTGGTCAGATTTGTATTACCGGATATTTATTAATTTGATAATATTGATTTTCAAATTATTTACATTAGTACATAATTTGGATACATTGTAACTAAGTCTTCTATTGTTGCTTGGCAAACATATTTTGAGTTTGTCATTGGTCGCATTTTTATTACGCCAAATATTTGATCAATAGGATCTTTGTCTTGTACGATTCTAAATCTGAATGTTTGGAATTTTATTCTGTTATATGCTGAGAGCGTATCATATAATCGTTTTAGTGTTGGTATGAATCCTAATGTTGTGGCTATTGAAGGTTGTTGTAATTTATCGAATATTATGATATATCTTCTTTTGGAATAATTTTTAGTTTTTTGTTCCACTCGGTATTTGATATTATTAAGTTTTGATATTTCTTTTACAAGTTCTTGTTTGTAAATTTTCATTTGGTAAATATCTTTTGGGGTTATTGCTTCGTATTGTTTATGTTGTAATGTAACAAGTTAGACCTTTGGTTAACTAGCTACAATACTTGACTAGTGTACGGGTAGTTAAGAAATGTGTTT